CCCCATCCCATAGGTTGACGTCCCAATTGCTGCTTTGATGTCCCCATGCCCTTGGTTGCCGTCCCCATCCCGTCTATTGATGTCCCTATGCCCTTGGTTGATGTCCCCATCCCCTTGGTTGATGTCCCCATTGCCGCGTTTGCGTCCCCATTGCCACGCTGATGTCCCCATGCCCTTGGTTGACGTCCCCATCCCGTACGTTGACGTCCCAATTGCTGCTTTGATGTCCCCATGCCCTTGGTTGCCGTCCCCATCCCGTCTATTGATGTCCCTATGCCCTTGGTTGATGTCCCCATCCTGTAGGTTGCCGTCCCCATGCCCTTGGTTGACATCCCCATCCCGTAGGTTGACGCCCCCATTCCATAGGTTGATGTCCCAATTCTGCATTGATGTCCCCATTGCCATGTTGATGTCCCCATGCCCTTGGTTGACGTCCCCATTGCCGCGTTCCCGTCCCCATTGCCATGTTGATGTCCCCACGCCCTCAATTGACGTCCCCATCCCATAGGTTGACATCCCCATCCCATAGGTTGACATCCCCATGCCCCTGGTTGATGTCCCCATGCCCCTGGTTGATGTCCCCATTGCCGCGTTCCTGTCCCCATTGCCACGTTGATGTCCCTATGCCCTCGGTTGACATCCCCATCCCGTAGTTTGACGCCCCCATCCCGTAGGTTGATGTCCCCATGCCCCTGGTTGATGTCCCCATGCCCCTGGTTGATGTCCCCATGCCCCTGGTTGATGTCCCCATTGCCGCGTTCCTGTCCCCATTGCCACGTTGATGTCCCTATGCCCTCGGTTGACATCCCCATCCCGTAGTTTGACGCCCCCATCCCGTAGGTTGATGTCCCCATGCCCCTGGTTGATGTCCCCATTCCCGTGTTCCCGTCCCCATTGCCACGTTGACGTCCCCACGCCCTCGGTTGACGTCCCCATCCCATAGGTTGACATCCCCATGCCGTCTATTGATGTCCCCATTGCCACGTTGATGTCCCCATGCCCTTGGTTGATGTCCCCATCCCGTCTATTGATGTCCCCATTGCTGCGTTGATGTCCCCATCCCGTCTATTGATGTCCCCATTGCCACGTTGATGTGCCCATGCCCTTGGTTGATATCCCCATGCCCTTGGTTGACATCCCCATCCCATAGGTTGATGCCCCCATCCATTAGGTTGATGTCCCCATGCCCTCGGTTGACGTCCCCATTGCCGCGTTCCCCTCCCCGTTGCCACGTTGACGTCCCCACGCCCTTGGTTGACGTCCCCCTTGGTTGACGTCCCCGCCGCGCGGTGACGCCCGCGTCCCCAGGTACGGCTGCACGGAGGAGGTGCTCTCGGTGGCGGCCATGCTGTCGGTGAACAACGCCGTGTTCTACCGGCCCAAGGACAAGGTGGTCCACGCGGACAACGCGCGCATGAACTTCCACGTACCGGGGGGCGACCACCTGGTGCTGCTCAACGTCTACAGCCAGGCACGGAGCGGGAGCGCCCGGAACGCCGGGAACGCCGCAGGGATCGCGGCCGGGGGGCTGGGGGGTGGAAATTGGGGTCTGGGAGGGGAAATTGGGGGGAATCGGGGTCTGCGGGGGGAAATTGGATGGAAATTGAGGTCTGG